CGTCGAAGTTAGATCCAAGTGTCTTGGAAGTGATGTAATTCCGGAAGTAACATTCCTGAGTAATACTGATTGGAAGATTCTTAGGAATTACGTTCAGGAAACTGAGTTTATGAACACTGAAAAATAATTCATTCAGTTCACTTTTTTTTTCATAATGGCCTAGGTGTATTTCTTCGGATTTGATGTAGTATACATCCTCCTATTAACCTACCTACCTACCTATTTTGATCGTACCTTAAACATATTATGTGTAGACATATAAAAACTTACTATTTAATGGTTATTTGTAAGTTTAAACTTTAAAGTTACCATTATTTTGTTGTTGTAAAAATATTTATGTCTATGTGAACAATACTCACATAGTGATGATCATAAAAATGTTTACAGTAACTGAAATATTTCTAAAATCAACAATTATTTGTTTGAGACAACAATATATTGTTACAATGAACATAGTATAGCTGTACTAACCATGTCGAATATTGTTTCTTTGCGTGTATATTTAACAAAATTATTAGCTCTAAAGCATTATTTAAGGGTCCGGTTGAATGGGACCTAAGTGAAATAATGGATTAATTTTTAATATTTTCAACACACTTCGTCTTTATAATAGAAAACCATATATTAAATTAAAGTTCTCTAGAAATGCACATATGTAAAATTCTTGTATTTCTACTACACTTGCTATTATAATATCGAAATATATATTAAAGAAACCATATTAAACTATAGATTGCATAAAGTTTCTTATTATTTGCATACAACGTATTTGGTCAAAATTGTAATTAATTGGATTAAGAGATAAAGTAAAATAAGTAAGAATGTGTAGTCGGGCATGATACTCTACACCAGTGTGTGTGTTAAAAATTTGGATTATTTTGTTAATAAGAAATCATTTTAGTTGTTTTTATCCTTAACTCCGAAATATTTTAACAATTTGTTGATTAATTTCTTTTGTAAATGTGAGGCTATATAGGGGTGAGGCTATATAGGGGTGAGGCTATATAGGAGCAAAGATAAGAAGTATAGGCCTATGCTTATACATTTTGGTAGAGGGTTTTACGTTTACATTAAAGTTATTTATACTGAATTTCATCGTGATACTATTGACTTTGTATGGGGGCTAGGTTCAAATGAGGCACGACCATTACAACAATCGGCAGTATAATTTAGACTCATATAAAACTAAGTTTTGTCGATTTTTGTTTCTCAACAGGTGCCCCCTATAGTAAAGGAGAATAATAGCTATTTCTTGTATAATTTTTGATCACAAAATCACTTTTAGTACATTATAAAGGGCATTTAAATTTTGGAGCTATTTTCAATGGCTTCATATAAAATCATATGCGGCCGACTCTAAATAAATATTTATAACTGTCCGACTTAGTGTAAGTGGTGCGTGTAATGTAAATATTTATTACATTCACATATTTATATAATTTCTCTTGACATTGTTAAAATTTATCTTTTCAAAAATTTTGGTTTAATTCATATGTCTGGGTAAATAAAAAAAAATTAACTTGCATTTGTATAAATTTATTTAAAATACCTTCTGATTTTACGACTATAATGATAACGAAAATTTTAATGATGATAAACAGTTGAAGGGGTCTTGGTCGTGATGATGCTGTTGCTTCTGTTGATGACGTTAGTATATAAATAATTAAATTTTAACAAATCTATGATATGGTCTAAAAAACAACAACAACTATAAATTATAAAGTTTTGGAAGGAGACTTTGTGATTGACAACATTTGTTTGGGTTTATGTTTGTTCTTCTAGTAATATGATTTGTTGCTGTGACCAGGCTTTTCGGTAAAAATATTGTGGGGAAAGTATCATTTACAATTTTCAAAATAAGCATTAACGTTCGTCAAAAAGAAAACTAATTAACACAAACTGAAATTAGCACATACATATATTTTCTTAAAAGAGTTTAATTGTTGTGTCTGTAACTCCGGCAATTCTTGACTGATAGAGCTGAAAATTTATGTCTGGCCTACTATCCAATAGCACAAACCTTGGTGCTAATTTCATCCAAATCTATTTTTTAAGCTGGGTCACTTCGCACGAAATTGCCCATATACATAATTGATTTGGTCTTCTACATTTTTTGCAGATCAGTTAATGATTTGTCTTGTCAATATGCCACTTGGAGTATCATAATTCAAATACGAATTATTGCTATTAACAAATACTGGTGTAATGTATTATATGGTCCGAGATAGCCGACTATGTGTACATTCTTACTTCTTTTACATGTACATAAATTTTAGTTGGTTGCTTTTCAACTATTCAGATTTTACGGTGAGAGTATTTTGTCATCTTGTTTGAATATTTTAAGACAAATTGCATTTTGTTGACTACTCTCAAGTAGCTGTAAAGTTAAACAAATTTTATTTGCCTCTGAAAAATTGTTAAGGGAAATAATACATACATAGAAATACAGTGAATAACAATATAAATTAAATTTTTGCTGAAGAGGTTTATAAAACGTTTGCATTCCGAAAAGAAAAAGGTTGTGCAATTAAAAACAAGGTTTTCCTTATGAACAAAATTTCAGCAAATTGTTTTCAAAATTGCGACCCTCAGTATGATAAAAACCAAGCAAAAACATGGTAATGACATTTACTTATTCAACAACTTACTTTCCAATGACTATAACATACAGTGTGCATTACACAGAAAGATTCTAGTAATGCCTTACAAATAATATATTATGTAAGTGCTCACTTTTTAGCCTTGGCATATTGTTTTCGAACTTTGTTTTTAACACTACATACAGTCTGCTTTACAGAGAAGGAGTCTAGTAATGACTTACAAATAATAGATTATGTAAGTACTTACTTTTTAGCCTTGACATATTGTTTACGAAAATTGTTTTTAACACAAACAAAAAATTGTTTTTGTGAAAACTAATAATAGATGCAGTGGACGTATCCTCATAGGCATTTTTTCTCAAAAGTAAAACTAGTTACTTAACTCGCTATTTGCAGGCGATCGTAGTAAGTACTTACTTAACTCCTTATTTGTAAGCGATCGTGATAAGTACTTGCCTATAATGTCTTCCAAGTGTTAAAATAATGACTTAAATGCTATTGTTTAAGTAAATTTTAACATTTTAAGGCCTTACTTCTTAATGTAGGTTTTTGCTGGCAATGCTTACATGACTAATTCTGAAGAGATTGGTTCGCTTTACCGATTTTTGATTCGCAGACCGCCTGAGGAATTTCACGGATATTAGTACAATTTACATTAATAATTATTCTATATACATAGTCCACAAATCCCCAAGTCCAATAAAAGTAGAGTTGTTATGCCTACTAAAAAGTGTTAAAAAGTCGACAACTCAAAAATGTTATTTTGTCATCATAAAGAAGAAGAATTAATGGGCCGGCCTATTTATTATATGTGATATGTTAGATGCCTGTGAAGTAATAGTATGCAATAAATCGCACTCACAAATTCAAAGTTTATGGGTATTTTTAAGGAGTTTGATATTTTAATATGTCGTGTAAAAAGAACAGATATATAACAGATAATATGCGAAACTTTAGTAATGATAATTTATTTTCATGTTTATTATATAAAACAATCTTAACTTTAAGTTAAACACATGTTTGTTAGAACAAATTACAAAAAGACTTAACCTCATCAAATGCAGACAATTACACATCTCCTTCAACTATTTCACAAACAAGCAATTCTGAAATATTTAATTCAAACTTGAAACACATTTAAAAAGTTGGTCAATTCCCAACTTATTGTGAAAAAAAAAAATATAAAAAAAAACATATCGAGGGACTATATTCAATAGTCTCTATCTAAAATAATACAAGTTTTCAGGAGAGCAAAAAAACTGTTTATTTTGCTAGTTCGTGAAGATTTTTAAATTTTTATACCCTCCACCACCATCAGTGGTGATAGAGGCTATATATTACTTTGTCATTCCGTGTGTAACACAGAGAAATATTCATCTGGCACCCAACAAAGTATATATATTCTTGATCCTTATAAAATTCTGAGAAGCCATAGAAATTGTCGAAATTAACCCAAAATATTCTTTATTATCCGGTATAGTTTGGTATTGAAAATCAGTAAAATCGGTTCACGGCGTAAAAAGTTATGAGTAAAAATTTTAGACTACCTCGAAAAAAAAGTATTTTTTCCCAATTCTTAAGTAGTTTTCTCAGAAACTACCAAAGATATTTCGATGAATTTTGTCACACATAATTATTTTGTGCCATCAAGTATGTTCAAACTCATAACATTTGAACCAATATTTCCCATAGCCTCCATACAAAGGTGTATATTCCCGGAAATTAGTTTATCGTTAATAACTCCCTCAAATATATCGGTATCAACACAAAATTGTGTACATACAAATATAATATGAATAGAAATCATACTACCAACGTAGATCTCAGTCGGTCCACAATTGGTCATAGCACATTGATAAATAAAGCTTTTGTGATAAAATTCGAGCTGAATATGTTTTGTGTACATACAAATCATTCTACATAATGAGCGATACCTCGAAAACTATTAAACCGATTTCAAATGATTTGTGTTCAGCATGTACAAATTAGTAAAAACACTTGTTTTGCAACAGAAAATTATCCAAAATAATAGAGTTTGAGCAATTTTTGGATAAAATAGAGAGTTTTGCATTCAGAATTTTTATTTTTTTAAGAAAGAGAAATTTAAAAATTGCTATAAAATTGCCAAAAAATATTTTTTTTTCTTTGAAATTTATGTCACTGATGCGGGATAGTTTACTGGATATTTTGCCATCAAAATCTAATTTTCATGAAAATGACAAATAGAGACTATTGAATATAGTCCCTCTATATACAAACTGTCTGTGATAATATTTGCTTATGCATAGAATATATAACTACTTATGTAAGTATAAAATAGTGTATATTAAATACATAGATATGTTTCCATATCTACATGGATAAGTTGTTTAGTTAGCTGAATCAATTACTAGTACTTACTTTGTGTCGTCCTTGGGACATGGGATGAATTTGATGCATTCACGCTTTTGAAAATTTGTTTCAATCCAACTTCGAGGCTGATGCTGTTGTTTCCGTTAAGATGTTATGTGGTGTCAATTTATAAGTTTTGCATTTCAATTTCAACAGGAATAAAAAATATGGAAAAAGAAATAAAATTTACAAGTTAAAATAAATTGATGAAAAATAGACAAAGTAGATTATTTATTCGTTTGTATTCAAAGCAATATTTATTCAAATTTTTACATAATTTTTATTACTTTTTTTTTAGAAAGCACGTTTCAAAACAAACAAAATAACATTAAACAATTGTTAAAGAACGAATAGAGAAATTCAAAAGGGGTTACATTTAAATGCAATATTTAGCATAAAGGGGACATTTTGCTATTTTGTAAAGACGTTAAAATAATAAAAAAACTTTTAGAAAAAAATTTAACCATAAAAAATAGATAATAGAATAAACAAATTAAATTATATATTTACAGTAATAATACAATAAATTGTTAGGCATGTTCCCGAACAAGTTATTTTTCAGGTTTTATAGATGCCAGTAATCATAAAACAACAATACATATTAAGACCTATTCATAATAATTTATCAAAGCTTTGTTAAACTACATTATATGTTCCACAAACCTTTGATAAATGAATAAGACTCATTTAAATTTGAAGTATAAAAACGATTAACTGTAAAACCAGAGTACGAAAACATACATAATGTTAATTTTGATAAAAAACACTTTTGATTAAGAACAAATTCAGTTTGCGTCACTAATTAGTTGTAGAATTTATAGTAAATTTATCTTTTTCTTTAATAATGATAAACAAACTTATCCATGATCCGTTAGAACAAACTCTTTGCTTAATCAGTTTACGCACTTTAAGTTTATCACAAAACACATTCAAATGACGTCTTTAAAAATGACTAAGACGCATTTTTTAGCAAGGTTTTTAGCAAACATTTTTAATATTTTATTACCAGGTTTATTCTTCTAAATATGCCCTACAACTGTAAATAGTTAAAACGGTGTAGTCAGATAAAGACCTAACATATTATTTGATATACCAGCTGTTTTAAATGATTTTAAAAGTTTTCTATATTGAGCTTTGGGTCTATTATGGAGCGAACCTCGGGAAATTGTATTACTAAGTATATATAGATTTATTTATAGCGATTTTAAAGTTTTAAAACAATTATTTTAGAAGTGATTAATATTGTTATGAAAACAATTAAATAATTATGTACAGTTCTTATAAAATTTAACAAAACTGCTCAAAAGTGCATGTTTCAAGATGAAATCGGAAAAATATTAATAAAAATTTGTACTTTTAGACTTGCACATATTATTTTTTATTGATCTTGTTGTATTATATATTGCAAGGTCAAATCATATCAGGATTCCCACCGTTTTTTATTTAACTTCACGGACCCCCATATATTTTTTGATATCTAATTGTTCAAAAGTTGTGTTTCTTCTATGGACCTAGTCCAACATTTTCCAAGTCGAATATATCATATTTCGAATATATCAACATTCCCGTACATTGAGAATATTTAATATTTCAGATACTTTTCAATTGCATAATTTTAAAAATAGAATGACTTCTTTGATGAAATGTTAACATGATATTTTATTTTATGACCGTCAAGGTACCGAAAAGGTTTATTTTTTAAGCATTCTCTACTGGTACTTAAAATGTTTCGTTTCTACAATATCCCAGCAAAATCTTTACTTACCCGGTAAGTAGGCAAGTAATGTTGGAGCAAAGTGTAAGTAATCTCTTTTTGGGTGAATAACTACTTATTTTTGTTTGGCTATGACCATAAAATAACTGGTTACAAATGTGCTTACCCGACTTTTCCAGATTTAAAACCGGCTTTACAGTTATTTTCTGGGATTATTAGTCTATTCTATTACCCAATGCTCCATTAACAAGTTGTTTTATTGTGCTATTCGGAATAGTTTTTACACAAAGGTACAAATAAATATTTCTTTAAAAATCTTCTTATATCGACTAGGCTTAAAACCATTAACTAATTCCTTATTAGACATGCGCTCTATACATCTGGCTACAAATTCTATTCTGGAAAAAATAAATAATTTTATTAATAAAGACCACTCATTACCAAGTAATGTGTAAAAAAACTACATTACCTACAATACTCATAACCAAAATTTGAAGATATTTTACTAGATGTTGCGATTGCAGAGGGGTGAGTGAGTTGAGTGTGTAAGCTAATGTATCTCTAAAGCTTTTTTTACTTCATCGATGTTTTTTCGGAAAATTTGATCTGTGATTGGATTATCATTAAATTGGGAAATGTACATTATCAGTCTGAAATACAAACTTTTAGTTCCGTACATATGTATAAATTAAATAAAAATTACAAATCACATAATACTTTACTTCATAAAAGTAAAAGTAGAATATTGTTTACTCTTTTTATTTTTATACCCTACACCACTTTAGTGGGGAGGGTATATTGGCTTTGTGCTGATGTTTGTAACATACAAAAATATTCGTCCTAGACCCACCTTAAAGTATACCAATCGGCTTAGAATCGTTTTCTGAGTCGATTAAGCTATGTCCGTCCGTCCGTCCGTCCGTCTGGCTGGCTGTCCATGTAAACCTTGTGTGCAAGCTACAGGTCGCAATTTTCAAGATAATTGGATGAAATTTGGCACGCACGTTTTATTTGACCCAAGGACGAAGCCTATTGAAAATGGTTAAAATCGGTCCATTATTTCACCTAGCCCCCATAGAACAGAACCCCCCGAAAAGGGCTTCTGAGCTCATAATTATGTTAAATATACAGATATATCGATAAATTATGGCACAACTAAGTATTATAAACTTGATAACCCTACCAAATTTCATAAAGATCGGGCCCCATTTGACCCTAGCTCCAATACAAAGTCCCCTTCAGAAAATTACTTGAATGTCCCAAATTAACTTATAAACACAAATATCCCGATGAAATTCACCACAATAAAATATTATGTAAATATAAATATATTCGCAAAATTTTATCGGGCTTGGTCCATATTTGCCCCTAGCCCCCATATAAAGCCTCTTTCAGAAAATTAGTTTTTCATCCATAAATTGCTTAAATGTATCGGAACAAGGGAATATTGATGATAAATGTTTTATTATGAAAAATAAATCACATTTAATATTCATAACTGGTGTAGGGTATCATATGGTCGGCCACTCCCGACTATACTTTCTTACTTGTTTAGTTTTTTTTTCGCGGACCCCGCTACGGACCCGTATTTATTCTCGTTCTTTGAAAAGTGAAACCGGTTTTCAAGAAATGGTAAATTTTCGATAAAAAGGCATTTAATAGTGAAATAAAAATATTCGAAAATGTTCACATGATTGCTTTGGTCGGAGCAACAACGATGCTTGGATTAATGATGAAAGTTCTCTTGTCGACACTACACTGTCGAGTCTACAGTATCCTTGGTTCTTGTTGAAAACGTCCTTTGTAAAGGAAAATCAACACCTTACAGACATTCTATGACAGGTCATTGAACAAATCTTAAAGAGGTGGCGTTTCATAATGTCCATGCCTTAATGTCCATGGACCTTATGACAATGGACATTATGACATGCCACCCTTAAAAAACTTGTTCTTTTATGGATATTAAAATACTGGACACAAAATTGGATTAGTTGTAAACTAGTCGCGAAATTATTTTTTAAATAAATTAAAGCAAGTTTGACATAGTGAAATTAAGATTTGAAAACAATTTAAAGAGGAAATACACTACAGGCAAATCCCGGTATAACGAATGATATACTGTCAGGCCATTTCGTTAAATGGAAAAATCGTTATATCGGAATTATTTTTTCTAGTAAATTTCTTTATTTACTGGACAAAAAACCATTCAAATTAATATATGAAATTATTACTTCAAATTTTATTTCAACTAATAACAACGCATACGTTTTTCCATTTTGAACATCTGGACGGATTGAAAAATTTGCTGATGGATTTTTGTTTTCTAACAAAAATCTAAATTCAATCTAAAAGATAGAATTAAACTTTTTTTAGGAAAAACTGAACTTGAGAATCGATAACTGAGTCTCATGCTGATAATTTCATATCTCTGTTATTTATGTTGATTTTAAACAGAAAACTTCTCAAAAGCATGTCTGACATAATTATTGAAGATTTTGATCCATAAGATATCTGGTGTCTTCAGAAAATTGCTTTCACCAAACATAAGTATAAACAGACGGATAGACAGATAGACAAACTGACATGAATAGAGGGGTTTTCATAGAAATATAACAAATTTATATTGATTTAATATAAATAAATATTATAAATTGTGTAATTTAATGACGTAAAAGAAACCAAATTATTAAGAGGCTCCAGAATGTGATGTTTAGTCCAAAATCAATTATATACACTCCTCGCCACTTGAATTGCACATATATATATTTTTTTTTCAAAGCTTATATTTTTGGATCAAGTACTATTTTCATGACCTTCGGCAGGAACCACATTATATGGATCGTCTACATAGCAGTGTCATGGTATGGGGAGCAATTTCCTATTGTAGCACCTTCGAGCATCAGTTTTTAAGCTCAAGAATAAATGCTAAGAACTACATTGGGTTAATAAAAAAAGACTTTTTTCGGTTTGCAATGACCTATATGGACCTAGCTCTCGGATCCTGCAACAAGATAACGCCCCGATCCACACTACCCGGATCGTAAAATCTTATATAGAGTTCCAAAATGTTTAATTGTTGAGCTGGCCTCCATATTCACCAGACTTAAACATTATAGAAAACTTGTGGAAATAGGTTGTTCGAAAAGTTTATGAGTCTGGAAAACAGTATTCAACAATTCCTGAACTAATCTATAATTGCATAGAAGAAGAAGTCTGGAGCTCAGTACAACTGAATTACATGGTCAAGCTATATGAATCACTTCCAAACAGGATTTGTGAAGTGTTAGTCAACCAAGGAGGTTCAACACATTACTAAAATAGCTTAGTTTAATTTATATCGTTGTAAATAATCTAAATCAATTGTTCAATTCACAATCGATGTTGTAGCGTTGTATGCGTTGTATGTCAGCAGCTGCTACAATAGTCATAACAACGTTGTTGGTATTTTCTATGCAAAAGCTCTATACAACTCCTACGACAATTTTTCATATGTTTTTCGAATGTTGTAAGAAAGTTTAGTGTTGCCAAATATTTATTTCAACATATAAACAAAAAATTCAAACGATTTTAGCATAAAAAACGATAAAGTGGTAACACTGAAATCAAAAACAAACAGCTGTTTACCAAAACAAAAGAGCTAAAATTTAATCAAAAACTGTTTATTTATTGAAAATTCAAAGAAATTAATTTGGTTTATTTCTCATCTTTAATTAATTTAATATTTTTTGATTTTTTTATCTTTTGACATTATTATGTATATTTGTTTTGATTGTTTTTTTTTTTCATTGAGAACATAAACTTATGACTTGCTGCAAAGATCTGTTCACAATCACTGTTACTACACTTTAGTAGGTACAATATACAACTTGATTGTGAATTGAACAAATAAGTTTTAATTACAAAAGTTGCTATAAAATCACTTTTTCGGGGGGATGTTCTATTCAAGTGGCGAATTTTTAACAGTAGTTTTTTTCGGTTAATTTATAAAAAAAATTATATAAAATCAAATATCACAGATATGACAACCATTCATATCACATTTTATTCAGAACAAAAAATATTACAATGAGAAGGAAAAACAAGTTTCCAGAAATTCCTGATCCAAAAATATTAGCTTTGAAAAAATTTGATATATGTGCTATTCAAGTGGCGAGGAGTGTATATGGGTTAAAGACAATATTAAAATTAAACTAATTCATATCATAATGGTCGATATCTCAGAAAATTATTCAAAATAATAGAGTTCATGTTCAGGTAAACAGAAGTAGTTCTTGGCAATAAAAGCGTACACAAGTTATATAAAACCAGCATTAGTTTCATTTTAGATTCTTTTAAATGCATATTGTATCTTCATATTTTATTTTACTTTTTTTTGCAATTACATATGTTACTTCCCCAAGAGTTTTTTTGTATTAAAAGAAAAAAATTCGTTTAAGAGAAACATTATTTTTTTCTAAAAAGAAAGTTATACAAACAAATGTATTATTGTACTACTTATGTATGTAGTTATCTATAAAAATATTTTTATCCATTTAAAAGTGCATGCAGTAGTTGTATTCATAATGTTCGTGTAACTTTTAATTGATGGCAAAACTAGATAATTAACATCAACTCAATAAAAGTGTAAGATAAAAAGAAAATGACTAACAAGATGAAATAACAAAGCAAATCCAAAATAGAAATTGCAAAAATAAACAACATTTTAATAAAACAGAATACAGAAAGTCAAGTCAAGGAATTTGAAAACTTTAAAACAACAACGACAGAAACAGCAACAGAAACTACACTACAACAATCAGGATTGTAATTGTTGCCATCATTGTTCCATCCAAGGAGTGAGGAACATGACATGAACAAACATGGGGGCCAACTAACATAAACGATGAAAAAAAAAAACACAAAAACAACATACCTCATCATTATTATCACTTGGATCTGGAACACGCAATAAATCACGTACATTCAGTACTAGAACTTTTGTTAGTGTCGATGAAATCGATGAACGTTTCCGTGCATGTTTACGGGAGCGAATACCACGTATTGAGGGTTTATGCGAAAAGGGTGAGGAATTAATTACATCCACTGGAGTTGTACTAAAACGACGTACCGTTGAAAAGTCTTTAGAAACACTCCGTATGTATCTTTGTGTTAATTGTGGAGAATCTAATACCATGGTGGTTGGTGGTCGTGGTCGTTAAAACAAATATACAGGATTAATTAGACGATTTCAGTTGAAATTAATTACTTTTCTTTCTCTAGTACACAAACTGACTGGCAAAAATTATATTAAAACAACAACAAAAAAACTTTTCAATTTATTGCAACAATAAGTGTGGTGGTCATACCGCCAACCTCGTTACTACGCAAATACATAAATATATAAAAATATTTCCCATGAGTCTCTGAGAGGGAAACGAAAAATACAACACAATTCTGAATACTGGATTTGAAATGAAATAACAATTTCGTTTTTAGGTTTTCACGTTTCTACGTTTTTCGCATTCCTGTGTTTTTTTTTAGGGTATTTTTAAACACTTTATATCAAATCCCATATAAATGGTTTTGTATCACTATTGTTTTTATTTTATTTTGTTATTTATTTTTTCTTCGAAACACCGCTATTCCAACATTTATAAACCAACACGCGTTATGGCCAAGAAGCGAATGCACTGATGCTACCGTTCTGCCAACTCTACTACACAGCTGATGATGCTGGCTGCTCGAATGGTTGACTGGCTGGCTGGTTGGCTGTCTGACAATGTCAAATCCAAGTTATTTTTTATTTTCATTTTATTACGCCCTACACTCCCCCACTGGGTGATGTTGGTTGATGCAAATGTAAATAATAAAATATTTATTCGAACATTTTTAACTAACTTACTAACTAACTACGCTCAGATAAGATTAGACAACGACACTTGGTAAAGATCACTAATTGACACAGTAAGTCATTTTGGAGTAAAACTTTTAAAACATTATTATGTCTACATACACACATTGTTTGACATTTCTATTTTGACATTTAATAAACACATATTTATGTCAGCTATTATAAGATATTTGGGATTAAACTTACATACGTCAGTTTATCAAGTGTACAATTGAATCTACAGTTTATAATCTTTTATGGTTACAATCGATAACCACCTAAGACGATTTAAGAGCAGAATAATGTATGTATGTATGTTTTCTTAAAGTTAAGCATGTTTATACACATAATATGAAATGCACTGAATTCTTATTAAGCGTACTAATTTTTCTAGTTATAATCGGATCGAGTCCAATATTTAGCCTAATCAAACAAGTGCACAGTGCCAAAATTAGTACATTCTGATATTTTTTTTTTAATTATTAAGTTTTATAATTATTAAGTTAAATGCTGATTTTAGTAAACTTTTTCTTTAAACAGTAATCAAAAGAGAATTCTCAAATCACGTAAATCAAAATCAGCGAATAAATTGGGCGTGACTTGGGTATATATAAAAATCGCGAAAATTGAATAACTTTTATATTTTGGTTTTTGTCGTTCTAGATTGGGAAAATGTGACACTGTGAAGTGTGGTAAAATAACTATATCAAAGTTAATCCAATTTATGGCCAGTATTTTAATATCCAACAAGTAAGAGTCTTATATTCTCCTAAATTGAGTCACAGTGTCCATGGACGTTATGACAATTTCAAAAGTGTCACAATGTCCATTTATCAAAAAAGCATAATTTAGAGAAGCAGGTATTCGAAATACGCCAGAGTTTAAAATCCTTGTGTACGGCCGAAGGCCGGCTATTCAGGACACTTTTTTAAAGGAACCCAAAACGCAACATACTTCAAATTTATGAGCAATTTTTTTCCAATACATTTCTGTTTTTAAAGTGCCTCAAAGTCCATGGACATTATGACACTTTTAAGAATTATCACAACGTCCATCAATTTAGTGTGTCATAACGTCCATAGACATTATGTCACTGGACCTTATGACATATCACCCCATTGAACACTGTTATGTCCTAGGTGAGGACCACGTAATCCATATATACATTACATCAGAGTAATTATGGGAATATATGATCCGCATAATAGTCCCATGTAATGCAGGCAATGGACCATGTTGTTAAAAAACAAGATCCATGCCTGCATTACTTAGGATTACTTAAGGGATCATGTTATCCAATAACGTTTACAGGGGAGTAATTTAGGGATTACCTAAATGATTCATGTACTCCAATAATTTTTGCAGAGATGGGTTTAAATTTTATTCGTGAACATAGGGAATTTCATAGATTTTTATGAAAATATTTGTAACAATTAAACTTGTTTATTTTTTTAAATAAGAACATATATATTTATCCGTTTTATATATCCTGTCAAGACTTTAAGTTGAATTCGAATTTTATACGCTATTCAATCAATGTCTTATAAATGGAGTAACAAAATTAACCATTTTATAAAAATCATAAATTTATTCACAAACAACATTTTTATTAAATTTTATAAAAGGTTTATAAACCGTTTATAAAATAAAAATTTTGCTTGTGAATACGGGGGAAATATTTATTACATAGTGTAAGGTATCTTTTTAGCAACTTATTGCCGGCTTCCGATAGTTATTGTTGTTTTTCATTTCTGTTATTTTCACACACTTTTATGGAGATAGTGAATCTCTACTGTAGCATGGAATATTTAGATAAATTTTATTTGCACTTGAAGTGTTTGTGTATCTCATAGATAGCTTAGTACAACCGAACGTTATGGAAAACAAAAACAGTTTATCTTTTAGCAGCAACAAGTGTTGGTTGTTGTATTTCATGCCTCACTCATTGGCGTAGTAGTTAATTAATTAAGCGTTTTTTTTTGTCATTTTTTTGTTCCGTGGTTATTTTCATTTCACATATTCTCTCGTCTATAGCGTTAAAATATCTTTGGGAAACTCTGTTTTCTTTATCTGTTTTGGGTAAAAAAAAAATAAAATGACTTTTATTTATAGATTTCTTTGAAAGTAAATCAGCTGGAAATAAATACCACTCTATCGATTTTATTATTTTCAAAAGCTGCCAAAGCAATATATTTTCCGTTTTTTTATAGTTTCCATTTAAGTAAGAATTTAAATAAAGATTTGTATTGCAACATTTTTAAAGAGGTTTTTGTAAAGATGTCAATAGCAGTCGCAGTCGCATCATTTAATTTTTTCTATAAATTTAAATTTTTATTTTAATCCTTAAAAAAAGTTTTAGTTTGAGGTTAAGAGTGTTTGTTGATTAAGCATTAATCAGTTTATGACAAATAAAATCTCAAAAATTAAACATTAAATTTTGTTTAAAAATGTGTATGTATATGAAGGACAAAAAGAGCTAAAATTAGCTATATTTTTAAATAAAACAACAGGACATTGGAGTCCAGTACTTTCTATGATTGCGTACCAATAACTATTTAAATAAGTGCTTACAAATAGGGAGTTTAAAAGTTGTCTAGTTGCTAGCACGCGATCATATAAAAAGTGCAAATAAAACATCAAAACTCAAAATAAATTACTTATGTATTGCATATGTACGTATATTATATGTAAGTCATTATTATAGTACTTAAAAGTTATGCAGACGGTATACAGTAGCCCCTGAAAAGTAAATTATTCTGTAAGTATAATTCATTACCAAGTATTGGCTGGGTAATGAAGGTACGAGTTAAAAATACATTGACCATATTACATTAAATAAGAGGTGGCCAAACAGAAGAGTTTGCAGCACTTTTGGGACACAAAGATTTAAAAGCTAGTAACTGTTTGATATGAAAAATACGCCATGATATCTGATTTCGAAAAGTGGGAAAAATAATCAACATTTTTCTTAGAGTATTTTTGTTCGTAAAACGAGCATTAATAAGAGGCATACAAATTCCAAATTCTAAAATGGACTAAACCAAATGCCTAAAAATTTTTCCTGTCATATGTTTCTGCACACTGAAAATCTTATTGCATTTAAATGTTTATTTAACATAAAGACTTCTCTGTCAAAAGGCAATAAATATTTTGTTTTAAATTTTTATAAAAATCACAGAATTAAAATTCTTACTCGTTAATACTCGTAACTGAATAATTCCAAACAATGACAATAATATCGGATAGATAAAAAATATAAATTATATTCAAAGCTAAAATAATCAAAATCAAATGTTCAGGCGAATGTTTCTGTTTCATTAAATTTGCATCAAAAACCATCTAAATGCATATGTACACATTCATGAATAATTAATTTAAACAATCTGTAAAAATTTTTGGAATGAAAAAAAGAAATAAAAATAATTATAGATTTAAATAAATTTGTTGTAGAATAAATATGTATTCAAATGTAAATAATATGTTTTATGCACGTCCATGTCTAATGTAATTATACAGGTGCTAAATAGTACATAATTGAAATGTATTTTCTATATCAACACTTGTTTATGTTCCCCTCCTTATAATCAATTTATATATTTAATTGAGATTAAAAGCAATTATTGCGGACAGAAAATGGAATAATATTGTTGCAATTTAATTTCTTTCCTTTTCTTTCATTTATCACAGTGTTAATTACACTGTGCTCATTGGAATTTATTAAAACAATGGGATAAATATCGACATAAGCAAATTCAATGATGACAAATATTTTTTTAATTTTTTCAGAAAAAACTTGTTAATGTCTTTTACTTACACAAGAATTTAATTATCAATGACTATTACATACCGTCAGCATTAGTTGTAAGTGCTCTAATAATGTCTTACATATAATAATATACATTCGTATGTACTTATTTTAATTCCCATGGCCGTGCTGAAATAATGTGTTAATATGTCAATGTATATGTAGTGAAAAGTAATTTTAATCATTGCTTTTCAGTGTAAGTTTTTGATGAATTTAAATATGATTATTTAATTACATATTTATCGTTATTTCATTGAATATTGAAGCACAATGTTATTGTTAGTAAATTGATGGAATCTAATGTGGTTGTATGATTTATATATTTTCTTAGATACAGAACATTTATAAACAAGTATGTGTTCTTGTGTGGAATACAAATTTATATTAATTTTCTTTGATGATTTAATGTAATAAACTGCTAAAAGGATACAATAAATTGGAATAATGTTCAGTGGTGCTAAATAAGCATAAAGTTTTGAAGTTATCAAA